TGTTACATGTCAAAAATCTGCCTTTATTTTCTAAATAATACAATGAGCACTTTGGTTACCAGAATAACTTGGCATAAGCTTCAGAATATTCACTAAACAATGGGATTTTACTTGCTAAAGAGGAAATTATCATTCTCCACATTTTTTTGGGGGGGGGGGAATCTCCCATGATAATGATATATTTTTTCCAACAAATAAGAAATGAAATGGGTGGGGGTTCAAGAGAAGGTTCATGAAGTTCATCTCAGCTAGAGCAGACTCTTGGAGCCAGTTAGCTTTGTGTGGCATGTGGGAAGTTCATGTGAAATGGGCAGCTGTTCCTGGGTGAAATACAAGTGTTTGTCTAACCTGTTCCTGGAGACTCTGTCATCATGAGGGAAGCAAGTGCACCCTGTACTTTTTGATCCAGGCTTCGCTGGATTAATGGGATTGGAGAAGGAGATATTAAGAACCTGAAAAATACTGGATGTTCTGGTCTCCTGATTTCTGAGACATACTAAGGTCGTACATGACAACAGTTTTCATTTGTCAAATGTAATACTAATCTGAATATTTTATTTCTCAATATTTGGCTCCCATTTTGTTGCTGTTCCCAAGTACCAGGAAACAGTCTCAGGAAATTTACTGAACTGGTCTTGTCAACAGAGAGCTAGCTCCCACCATTCTCTAAATTTATGTGCTTTTTGTGTACTTGCATTTTCAATGGGATTTCAGAGTTCTCAAAAAACTGAGGAGATATGTCAGATGCTGCCTCCTCCCTCTGATTATTTGAGCAATAGCAGTCATAGCAGCAACAAGTGGGCAATATATTTGAGAGATGTCTCTTCCTTCACTCATTGAGGCTGACTGCACGCAACACAGAAGTGTCTTTGACAATAAGCTTGGCTTCTGTCCACTGGGAAGCACACTAAATCCAGAGCATCTTTTTCTCAGTTTCTCCAGATAGCTTAAGTTTAGAAATTATTATCAGTATGAAGTTGAACTCTTAATATTAAGTCATGGTACATCTTTACATTACCAAACTCTTAACAGTTTAGCCTTCATGTCTAAAGCAGTTTTGTGCATACTTCGATTAGACTTTAGTTCTAAATTTCAGACTAAAAGCTTCTGAGACACAGAAACTTTATTTGCCGATAAATTTGCCAAATTGCACCAAACTGCACCAAATTTGCCAAATTTGCCAAACTGCACCAAACTTCAGAATTTTCTCCAACTTTTTTAAAGTAAAATCCCCAAAGTGCAAAAAACAAACAACAAAACAATCACATATATGCACATAAACACACACACGCACACATACAGTAGATGAAAGAGGGAGAAGTGTAAGTCCACATATAATGATCTTTCTTAAGAATTTTTTAGTTTTTGTCTTTTTAATTATGATAGAGTGTCTAAACAGGAACAATGTTTTACAAGTCACTTGCAAGGCATTTTAAACAGCTGCCTTCTAAACTATACTAGCAGAAATTATCATGACTATTTGTGAAACAGATTTAAAACTTCAGTAGATGCTTAACAATAACTATTAAGCACAAATGGCTGCACCACTATTTTAGAAGTGAAAAAAAAACTTCTAAATTATGCAGATTTGAGTTGAAGTGACAATTTTTCCCACTGATAATTCAATCCCAACATAGCTTGGTATCGTATCTTTTATTCACCAACAAGGCTTTGAAAAACCACATTTTAGGAACATAAGATAGAGCTCAGTAGATATAAATATTTTTTTAACGAATAAGAAGCAGACAATAAAGACTGCATATAACAGCGGACCAGCAGGTTCCTGTTATGGCTCTGGCATGAACACAAATACCAGGGAACCAGAAATACCAGAGTCATCATTTCTTGAGATAGACACCCTTTCTTTGCGTAGCTATACTGTGAGCTGCTTGTTGTACCCTCTCCATTTTATGGGTAACTTCATTTCATTACTTTCAATTCTGACCAGCATGCCCAAGTTCCTTATCCTAATTTTATTTAGGCTGCACATAAAACTCTGTCTTCCATTTAAAAATCTAAAATATTCTCAGGCTCTGGGTTAAGAAATACATGCAGGTCTGTTGAAAAACATAAGGTATAAATATAATACATATTTGTATATACCATAGTAGTTATTGAAACTTGTTATAGCAATGTCAAAATGTCAAAAGTACTGCTTACATGACAGGAGACACATTTCTGAACTACATTCTTTGCCAGGTAGTAGGAGATAGAATGTCATAGTTCTGGTCATAAATGGATGTGGCCATCTGAGATGCTTTTTACAGGCTAAAAATGAGAACAATGAGCCAAGCTGGTGTGGCTCAGTGGTTGAGTGTTGACCTATGAACCAGGAGGTCATGATTTGGTCCCAGGTCAGGGCACATGACTGGGTTGTGAGCTCCATCCCCAGTATGGGGCAGGCAGGAGATCTATGATTCTCTCATCATGGATATTTCTATCTCCCTCTCCCTTCCTTGCTGAAATCATTAAAAAATATGTTTTTTTTGATAAAGAGAGCAATGATAAGTGAGCAAAAAAAAAAAAAAAAAGATATGAAGGCAGTGATACTGACGAACAAGTACTTCTTAGCTATAAGGACTTTATCAATACTTATTATCATGTAACTCTTCACTCAAATTACCACCTCTATCAAGATTGGGGGAAAAAATCTTTGTTTCATATCTTCATTAATGTTTCAATGATCTCATTAGTAAGAATTTATTACAATAAGTTATTATATCAAACATGTATATATATACATGTGTATGTTCATACAATATTTTTAAATATTTTATTGAAGGGAAAGGAGAGATAGAAACATCAATGATGAGAGAGAGTCATTGATTGGTTGCAACCTGCACACTCCCCACTAGGGATGGAGCCCACAACCTGGGCATGTGCCCTTGACTGGAATCGAACCCAGGACCCTTCAGTCCACAGGCCCATGCTCTATCCATTGAGCCACACCAGCCAGGGCTGTATACAATATTTTAACTTTATTCTTATTGTTAATATTATTGCATATGTTCAATTCTCCCCCTTTGTCCACTCCACCAAACTCCTGTTCCCCCTCCCCTCTAGTCATCATCACCACATTATTGTCTGTGTCTATGGGTTATGGACATTTTTTTTCAAATATATTTTATTGATTTTGTACAGAGAGGAAGGGAGAGAGATAGAGAGTTAGAAACATTGATGAGAGAGAGAGTCATCAATCAGCTGCCTCTTGCACACCCCCTACTGGGGATATGCCCGCAACCAAGGTTCATGCCCTTGACCGGAATCAAACCCTGGTCCCTTCAGTCCCCAAGCTCTATCCATTGAGCCAAAGCGGGTTATGGACATTTTTAAAGTGCATTGATATTCCTCCGTTCCTCCAGCAGAGGTCAGAAAACAGCAACGCAGGAATATGAAACATCTCTGAACCATGAGAATATTTTAGAGTGATTTTCCCTAGGTAAGATTATAGAGGCTTTTATTTTAGTTTTTCCTTACCCACATTTTCTAATTACATTTTTACAATAAATATGCTTTACTTTTGTTATAATTGAAAAGCAATAACATTTATTTTAAAATAGACAAAGAGCACTGTTGGCATATATATTTACCCTGGTTCAAGTCAGAGATACTGTTCACTTGTTTGTGTTTTTGTAGCTGCACACACTACATTATTTGATATAGTCTGAGAAAGCAGCCCATTTGGCTATCACTCTGTAAAAGTATTGTGTAATAACATTTTCGCAAGTATTGACTGTAAGTGATCTTTTTCAAACAAGGAAGGTAATATCAGCCATAAGATTACCAAAAAAAAAAAAACAAAAAACAAAAACCAAAACAAACATCCTGAGCATAGCTCCTAATTGCCAAGAAAACCTGCACAAACAGAGAGAGAAGAGTGAATATACTCTCTAGTTATCTACGTTGTCTTGAGAAAACAAAAAGAGATCCCAGTGTTCTAAGAAGTAAGTCTCTAAGTCTTACATATTAGGACAAGGAAGACAGAAGAAATCAGTCAATGAGACCTATATTTAAAAGCAAGGAACCCAGTGAAGGATGTTTACTCAGTGCTGCTGATTGATGTTCAAAAAATTGTGGTCACCATGCTACATTTTAATTTTTAAATGATGTGTCTCTTTTTCTACTAGACACATATACTAGTACCAATAAAGTAAAAAGGCTTATAAAAAAATCTGAGTTGGACCAAACATTTAGGTATGAATTAAGGAAATATTTTACCCACATTATGCCAAAATAGATAGACTTTTCTTCCCAGTCTTACTAAATGATTCATAGTGTACAGTTTGTTATCTGTCCTTCTTGCACTCAAAAATAATATAAATGTGTCAATTTATCACCATTGTTATATTAATCAAACTGACTTGCTAGTTTCTTCTGTTTCCTAAGGGATAATTTTTACCGGTGAGGAATATGCCTATACTGTTTACTTCCATCTGTGGAAGCAAGTGAGGAAGAGAGGAAAGATTGAAATTCAAAACCTCTGCCAGTTCTTCCGTGGGACACCATGGGAGGGTGCCAGAGTAAGTGAGTCTCAGCTTGTCAGAGAACATCAGTGACTTTTTGTAGCAAAGCAATGATGCTAGAAAACAAGGATCAAGGAGATGTGAGAAGACCAGGAACATGGGGGGTGACTAGCATCTACAGAGAAATGTGGGCATAAGTCCAAGAGCTAATTAGAGTTAGAGTGTCTAATACTCAATTGTAAGCTATTGTGTTTCTGCAATTAAACCCCCAAGGTATTTAATAGCTTACCCACAAGTGCTTTTTCTCTATTAGTTTTGTTAAACTTTTTATCAAATGGGCAATACTACTTGGTCAGTTACCTTCCTGAACAGGCTGAGAATTCTCACTTACTCCCACTTTGATAACAGTGAAAAATTCTCAGAGTGGTTGAAATACACCCATAAACTACATATTTTTGCATACACTCAAGATTGAAAAAGTCTCTCTGAAAGAATAATCTTAAATTTGTATCAAGAAATAACCATGGAATAGCTTACCTTTGTGTGGTGGATCAGACACTCCACTTCATTCACTTTGTAGGTCTCTAATCCTAGCTCCTTGGCTAATCTTAAAATACGATTCTGGGTTGGCCCAACATAGGATCCTCCAAGGTCCACGTATTTAACCATTTGGTTCTGTTTTCCCATGGAAAAAAAGATAATTGTGAAAATGTTATACTAAGACTAAAAAGAGAACCCTGAATTAAGCAAATTAGCATTTCATAGGTTATAGACATATCTTGTATATCCATGAAAAATTGAGTTCTGTTCTCAACTCCATTCATGTAATTTAACAGTTATTAAATAATTTTTTTTATATTTAAGCAAAATTAATTGAACTTTGTATAGGCAACAAATTGCTGAACCCCATCATTCACAATGTTCCCCATAACATGGTTTGGTTTTCAGTGCCTCAAGTTTATAATCTCTGAATTGTGAATTCTTAATACTTAGTACTTGAGGCTAATTTTGAGGCAGCTAATGCTAGAGGAAAAACAAGAAAGAAAATAGTCACTTCTTAAGTGGTTTGAAAGATAGCATCAGGGAATGTTTGGTCATAATTTGAATCTTTGAAATTGCTCTTATGTTCAATAGCAAGTTTTATATATTGTTTTGAATTAGCTTCACATCCAATGACTAAGGATCAAACTCTGAACAAGAAGTGAATAGAAAAGTTCCCTGTGTTTGAAGGTGTCCAATCATAACTGGGTACCTCCTAGTCAGTGACACCAGGGACGGTCTTTTTTTTCTGTTTTTGTTTGTTTTCTATTATTTAGCTTCCTCCTCCCCCCAAAAAAGAATATCTATATATATAAAAGCCTAAGCTACAGGTGGACTAGCTGACCGACTAAGTGGCTGACCAGTATCTATGACACGCACTGACCACCAGGGAGCAGATGCTCAATGCAGGAGCAGAAACCACAGGTATGGAAACATAGAATAGACTGATGAATCTCAGAGAGAAGGAGGAAGAGGAGAGTGGAAAGATATTAAACAAAGATCTTACACATATACTAGAGGCCTGGTGCATGGATCCATGCTCCAGTAGGGTCCCTGAGCCTGGCCTGCACCTTTCTGCAATCCCTCAGGGGATGTCAGAGAGCCAGTTTCCGCCCAATCCCCACAGGCCAGGCTGAGGGAACCTACCACTGCATGAATCCGTGCACTGGGCCTCTAGTATATTTCTTAAGGGCAGGATTCTTTGTTTTAATCACTGATGTATTATTCTAAACATCTATTTATTGGGATAATATTTTACTGGGCAAGTGCCAAGTGTCATGAGGTAAGAAGAGAAAAGTATGGAAGAGTTGAAAAAGAAAAAATAATTCGGAGTGAGGCTGTGGGAAATAGAGTAATTTTCACTCTTTTAGAGAGAGTAAAATGAAAAAAAAATCAGTTTTGATACCATATTTTTCCATTCCATCCTTAATGTCTTACCCGAATGGTATAAGTCCTGCCTCCCACACGGTCCCGGGCTTCCAGAACAACTACATTCAGGCCAGAATCATGCAGAAGTTTCGCTGCTGCCATACCTGAGAGAAAGTACAATAAGAAATCAGAATCAAACACTTCATAACGATTCCAGATAAGCTCTTCATGCTAACAGCAAACAAGGAAAGTCCATGTGGCTCACATACAGCATAATGCTATATTTAACTTAGAGGTGGCTAAGATTTCTCAACAGAGACCCAAATTCCAAGTCAGAAAACCAATTGTTATTTGTATGAAAAATAAATAGGGATTTTACTTTTTTTGGTAAATGTCTCAGGTTCAATTCCTATTCAGGGCACATACTCAAATTGCAGGTTTGATCACAGGCCTAGATGGAGAGGCAACCAATCAATGTTTCTTTCTCACATCAATGTTTTTCTCTCTCTCCCTCTCACTTCTTTTTTTCCTCAAATCTCTCAAAGTATTTAATTTTGAGGATTAAAAAACAAAACAGCAAAAACAACAACAACAACAACACCTCACTTTAGAGGAAAATACACCCTAACAGACTCAGGACCAAATATGGAAGCAACCTAAGTTCCCATCAATAGACAAGTGGATTAAGAAGATGTGGTGCATATATACCAAATATTTTTGACAATGTACAAGTCCATCCAGGATGTAGTATTTTTTTTTTAAATCTCAGACAATAGCACTGTGATGCTAAGAATAATGAACTGAATTTGCTCAGTTGCAATTACCTTACTCATTTGCTTTTATGAGAACAAATAAAATCAAGAAAAGATTTAGGCACTGAACCTAACCAATAAATGAAATAGTTTCAATCCTTTCTTTCAGAAATAATAGTTCTGGGACTTTTATACCCCACTAATGCTGAGGGAAAGAAAGCTTCCTATTGAAATAACCATGTAGTGCTCATCGCATGTGAAAAGCTGTTCTAAAGTTTTTAATATATTGATTCAATGGATTCTCACAGGAACCCAATAATTAAAGGCTCTATTTATATTCTCATCTTATTGCTGAGGAAATTGAAGGACAAAGAGGTGTCCAATGTCACATAAGGAGCCAGCAGGCAAAGTCAGGCCATTTTCTCTGTAGATTGCATTTTCTATTTTTGCTTCAGGGATAAATTACATTTCAAAGATATTTTTCACTTTATTTGGATCAACATGCTCTTAAAGCACTTGTATCTTGTTTGATAAAAATCTATGAAACATAAGATGTGAGCCCACCATAAAAGCCATAAAGAAAAATCAAGGTTTCATTCATTGTCTATTGGTTAACCTAAAAGAAAAAACCTATTTTTTAAAGAGGCAGATTTGACACTTCATTGTTTGAGTTAATCCATCTCTCTCTCTCCCTCTTCCACTCCCTCTCCCTTCCTTCCTCCCTCCCTCCCTCTCTCTTTCCCTCCCTTATTCCTTAGGGGCAGGCCCAGAGCTTTTCAGTTGCTGGTAGGATAAGGGTTACAAAGTCCACAGGCCCCATGCAGTGTGCACGAGCATTGCACAATCCTTATTTAGGAATACAGGGTTTGGATTTCTAACTCCAGTTTCCTAATTTCATCTCCATAAGGGGGAAAAAAGAGAAAACATTTCTATTTAGATTCAACATTACAGATAATTCAGTGCCATTTCTCTTATCAAGAATCAGTTCAACAAATAAAATATGAAATAAGATGCAACCATGGTAACAGTTGTTATCAGGGAATTCAGAGGGATCTGCTGTGCATGCTGCAGCTTAAACAAAAGGATTCAGAATGAAACATCACTCATTTACACAACCATTGTATATTCCACAAAAGGTGCTGTCTTTTAGTAAATGCAGTTACCCAGTAGTATCTGATAGTAAACAAAAACTGTTATTAGAACAGCTGGGGTCCTACCCAGGAGTTGAATAGAGTTCTATATGCTCATGTGCCTTAAAAAACCATACACAGAAAATGACAAAAATAACTTTAAATACAGCAATTTGGGAATAAGTTGTAAATATCTCACAATTTGTCACACTAATGTTCATAGGGGCCTATTAAAAAGTCTTGCTTGCTATCAATAGACAAAAGCTGATTGAAAAACTAATTGGCCCAAGTATCAGTGGCTTAGTCATTGCAGTTTAGGAAGAGGGGATTTTAGGACACCCGAGAACCGGAGGAGTTGAGTCTGCTCAGGAAATGATTAACATCATCTAGGGGAAATGATGAACAAGAACAGACCTTGAGTCACGGAAGCATCGATTAGACTGTCGGACCTCAGAGGGAGGGTAGGGGAGGGTAGAGGATAAGGGGGAGAGATCAACCAAAGGACTTGTGTGCATGCATATGAGCTTAACCAGTGGTCATGGACAACATGGAGGTGGGGGCATGTGTGGAGAGGGGTTTGGGATGGGAATGGGGGGATGAGGACAAATATGTGATACCTTAATCAATAAAGAAATAAAAAAAAAGTAGCTCTCAAGGGATTCCTTGGTAATGGCTGCTGAAAGGGCTAGTGCTTTGACTGATGGAAGAATAAGCAAACATAAACTATACAAAGCCATCCTGATTTACAGCAAGGTTGTTTCCGAGTTCATTTCTATGTCAGTTGTTTGGAACTTTTAACACATGTGCTATAGAACAAAAATATGAAGGATGGTGCATTCTCTGCAAAGTCTGGGAATTTTAAAATGCATTATTATTTTTCTCTGTGAAGGTATTTTTTATTTATTTTTATTTTTTATTGTATAAAGTTTTACATATATCTCCTTTTTCCCTAATTGACCCTCCCCACCCCCCAGCCACTCCCAAGCCCCCACTGCCCCAGTGTCTGTGTCCATTGGTTATGCTAATATGCATGCAGACAAGTCCTTTGGTTGCTCTCTAATTCCTCCCTCTCCCTTACCATTTATTTCTGGATCTATTCTTGTTCATCAAATTATGTTGATCGTTATAATCCATATATGAGTGAGATCATGAGATATTTATCTTTCTTCGACTGGCTTATTTCACTTAGCATAATGCTCTCCAGTTACATCCATGCTGTTGTAAATGGTTGGTTAAAAATGGAACTCCCATTTGACCCAGTAGAATGCAATATTATTGCTAAAAAATCATAAAGTAGCAGAAGTATATTTACCCTACAACACTGAACAATGTAATTGGCACTGTTTAAACTCTTAAGCAATCATTTCCTGATTCAATGCAATAACAGTTTTTAAAAAAAATATCTACAATAATAACAGCCATTGTCAGAAAACATTGAGTACTTGCTTTACTCTGTGTGATGTGTTTTACACACAAAGTGCTTCGGTGTTCACCACAATGCTGAGAGGTATCATTAGCTTTGTTTTAAAAAGAAAAAAATGGAGGATTGGAGGCATTCATTAATCAACATAGAGTATACAATTAGTAAAAGTCAAGGTCAGAGTTCAGCCCCAAAGCTGATCTCTTAGTCACCACCTGGTACCCAAAGAAAGAAAAATATAGTGGAGAGGCAGCCAATATGGAGAGGGGCAGCTGTTATCAGGAGAGGCAGCATCAGGGACAGGACAAGCATCTATCTATGTGGCCATTTCTGACAGGTAATAATAATAAGGAAAAAGCACAATATGGTCTTGAATAAAAAAAGCCAACTTTTAAAAATACAGTAACTCAATACACAGTAACTCAATATACTGATGTAAAGTGCATTAAAATATTTTGCTCTCCAACTAAACATAAGGATTTTCTCTTATTTTTAAAAATATATATTTTATTGATTTTTTACAGAGAGGAAGGGAGAGGGATAGAGATCTAGAAACATCAATGAGAGAGAAACATCGACTAGCTGCCTCTTGCACAACCCCTACTGGGGATGCGCCTGCAATCAATGTACATGCCCTTGACCAGAATCGAACCTGGCACCTTTCAGTCCACAGGCCGACTCTCTATCCACTGAACCAAACCCGTTTCAGCGGGAATTTTCTCTTAAATCAGTGTTTTCCAAACGTTTGACATATATACCCCTTCTATAATTTTCGTAACGCTGAGTACCCCTCGTACTCATGAGAATGTAGAATTAGGCGTAGCTAAGCACGGTGCAGTACATATCCCCACCAAACTTCGGTGCAATGCATACCCCACCAAACTCTTCCCATACCCCTGGGGGTACACGTACCACACTTTGGGAAACACTGTAAATGAATATGTAACTTTTGCAACCAATGTAGGATCAAGCTTTTCATAACTTTGTACTTTTAAAAAGCTAGTTAAACTTCAGTTTAACAAGCAGGATCAATTGATATTTCACAAACAAATTAATATTTGCCACTTTTAGAAGCAGCCCCTAGTGCCCATAGGCTTCTGATAAGATTATCTATCTCAGTTGTTGCTTCCAAATGGTGTAAGGTCCATAGGATTTCAACTCAAGGAGTCTTCATTGGGTGCATAATCATAGCATGGCACACAGGAATAATAGCAGACTAATGCCTACCTCTTCCTGAGTAGTTTACTTGGGAAAAATTTATCAAAGTAATTACTATTTCAATTATTTGGAGACCTAAATTTGGGTTGAACACGCAAATTGTTTAAAAGATTGGAAATCAGTGATGTGCAGCATTCTTAGCCTTTTATGCTTCCAGTTTTATGCCATGGAAAACAGTCCAAGCATTAGATGCCATAGGAGACTGAAAAGTACATAGTGCAGGTGACAAAAGTGCCTCTTCAAGGTGTCTTTAGAGTAGTGGAGAAGTTACGATTTAGAGGGAAGTAAAAAAAATCAAAATTACCATCTGCCTCATTCTTTGCTTTGTTAATCTGTGGAATGTCCTTCATATCAAAATCTGACATTTAACAAAATGTTTAAAATTCAAAATGAATTGTCTTGAAAATATTATGAAACATCTGTACTTTGCTGCTATATAAATGATTTCATCTCAATTATTAAAAAAATCATGTTAACATTGACAATGAACCCAGTTCTGTATCTGTGTCATGTTTTTCATGACTCACATTATTTTCTATAACATATAAAGATGTACGTTGTTTTAAAAAAATGTCTCAAAGTGTGCCAAGTTTTAAAATTAGAATGCTTCCTTATTAACATTCTTGACCAAATATATCTATAAA